TCGAGTTTTCCCATCACGCCCAGGACAACACTTCCCACCCAGGGTGGACAGTCACTGATTCAATGACCTGCACCTGGAATTTTCCAATCACAAGACTCATGAAAGATAAAAGCCAGACACATGACAAAGACACATGGCTGGCCTATGGGAGGAAGGAGGGAGAACGAAGGGCTCCAACAGGTGAATGAACCCAAATCACGCCACCAGCCCAGTGGATAGGTAGAGATTGCTCCTTTCCAGTATGTTCTATCTAAATTCTCCCATTTAGGGGTGCCTGGGTGGCTCAGTGGCAGACTCATGTCTGCCTTCAGCTTAGGGCATGATCCCAGGGTCTTGAGATTGAGTCCCACATCAGGCTCCCTGCAGGGTGCCTGCTTCTCCCTATGTCTCTGCCTCTCTCTGTCTCTCCCATAAATAAATACATAAAATATTTTAAAAATAAATAAAATAAAAAAACAAATTCTCCCGTTTGATGTTCAAAAGTTCTATCTCATGTGCTCAGTGCTCAGAAGCCGCTTCAGGGGTCTACCAGACACTGTTATGTGGGCAGTGCACTCCCAGGCATCTGATTGGATTCTCAGACAGTCCTATGAGGGAGTCTCCATTTTAAAGATGAAGAAACAACTTTGTAGAGTTAGCAGTTTAGTAGCCCCGGGAGGAACAGTGCCAGCTACTTGCTCCACAGCCCAGGCACTTAGCAGCAGGGCCACAGAGGCAAGCGTCCTAGGGTCAATATTCAGATACTCTGGATTCCACTTTTTATAAAAAATGCCATACCTTGTCCTGAGTATAATATAGCTGTTGAAACATTCTAAGGCAGGGTCAGCAAACTTCTTTTGTAAAAGGGCCACATGGTAGAGGTTCTAGGCTTAGTGGACCACACATTCTCTGTTGCAACGACTGAAGTTTGCTACAGTGTGGTATAGAGGTGGCTCTTGCTAAAGGTGACCAGCCATGGGCTTGAAGCACCCCCTAGCCATTGCTGAGGGCTGAGGGGCTCCTGAGGCTTAGTCTAACAAAACCCCTACCTCCCCCATCTCCGTTCTAGAACACAGAGTGTCTCTGTTGCTTTCCCATGCCGCTGGACAAGGAGAGCCCCAAGTCCCACACTCTGAAGTTCCTCCCCCACCCACAGGTCCCCAGCTGATCTCACTTGTGGGTGACAGCTTTCAGGAGGGGCCAGAAGACAGGCTGAGGAAGAGGCTTCTGGTGGGCGCTTTTCTTCCTTTTCCCTCCAGTCTCAGCTCGGATGTGCTTGGCCAGCAGGCCGTGGATAAATACGGCCTCAAGGGCACTGCGCATGGTGTTGGCATCTCCATCCTCGCTAGTGACCACTGTGTCCGAGGACACTTATTGCTTCTGTAACGCCTTCACGGATCCCACTAGCTTCTTCTTGATGACCTAATCAGTGTCAGACATAACACAGGCTTTAGAAGATCCTGCCATGTAACTGCTTATTGCCAAATACACAAACACCCACAAATGTGTATGCATCTATGCAGTACATAGACATGGAGCAAAACTTGCATGGCTAATTATAGAAAACAAAGACAAGGCATGGAGAAAAAAAGGAAAAATCACATACTTAAATCATCCAGAGATAGCGTTTTTTTTTTTTTTGGCAAAAATATTTTATATTATTAATCTGAACTTCAAAAAAAAAAAACAACAACAACAAAGAAAGGAACTGAACTTGAGTGAATTGATAGCCATACATCCTGTGTTTAAGTACTGGTTCCATCACCATTACAGCTATTGGAGCTCAGGCAATCCACCTAGGGCAGCGGTGAGGCTTTTTATGACTATGACTCCATCAAGAGGCACCAAGTGCTGTTTTCAAACATGAAAATAAGAGCATAGGGACGACGCCTGGGTGGCTCAGTGGTTGAGCACCTGTCTTCAGCCCAGGGCGTGATCCTGGAGTCCTGCGATGGAGTCCCACGTCGGGCTCCCTGCATGGAGCCTGGCTCTCTCTCTGTCTCTCATGAATAAATAAATAAAATCTTAAAAGAAAAGAAAGAAAGAAAACAAGAGCATGGTCTACACTGAGAAAGATCCAACACCTGGCATAGGCCCAGGTTAGTGTCAGCTTTGTCTGTCACCAGCTGGGTCACCTCAGACATTTCACTTAACCTCGCTGAGCTTAATGTCCTCATCCGTTAAATGGAAAAAAATACCTCCTGAACTTCAGCACTGCAGGGCATTACCCTGAGGGCAGGACTTGTCTTTTAATCATCTTTGTGTTCTCGACACTTGGCACGGTTCCTGGCACATATAAGTAGTCAGTGAATTTTTGTTGAGTAAGTAAATTATAAAATACATATACATAAAATCCTTTGGAAATTTAAAGGCAGTTCAGTCATAATCTGAGCATGTCAAAATGTCCTGAGTGTTTGGAAAAGGACTAGAAGGGAATGCAGAAAACCTGGTTGGAATTATTAGCTGATAGAGTTATGGATAAATATTTTACTGTTTTATTTTTATTTTAGCCCAAACAGTTCATGTTCTCTGAAAAGTCCAATGTTCTTTTTTTACAACAACTTGAATGAGGCATAATTTACATAGCATAAAATTCACTCATTTAGAGTACACAATTCAATGTTTTTTGGTATATTCACAGAATTGTGAAACTATAGCCACTACCAAATTTTAGAACATTTTCATTGCCTCAGAAAGAAACACTGTGCCCATCAGCAGTTAATCCCTGTACCTCTCTCCCCCCACCCCAAGCAACCACTCATCTACTTCCTATCTTTGTGGATTTGCCAATACTGGACAGTTTGCCTAAGTGAAGTCATACAGTGTGTAGCCTCCTGGATCTGGCTTCTTTCACTTGGCATGTTTCCAAGGCCTGTCTATGCTGTGGCACTTAACAGGACTTCATTCTTCTTTACTGCCAAATAATATTCCATTGTGTGGACACCCCACATTTTATTTACCCATTCATTGATTTAATAGACATTTGGGTTGTTTCCACTTTTTGGCTCTAATGCTATGAACATTCAAACACAAGTTTTTGTGTGGACATTTTCAGTTCTCCTGGGTACATACCTAGGGGTGGAACTGCTGGGTTGTGTGTTGACTCCAGGTTTAACTTTTTGAGCAACTGCCATACCTTCCCATAATGGCTGTACCATTTGACATTCCTGCCAGCAGTGTGCCAAGGTTCTAATTTCTCTACAACGTCACCACTTACTATTATGTCATTTTGATTTGAGGCATCCCAGAGAGTGTGGAGATGTCTCTTGTGATTTTGTTTTTTTTTTAATTTTTATTTATTTATGATAGTCACAGAGAGAGAGAGAGAGAGAGAGAGAGAGAGAGAGAGAGAGGCAGAGACACATGCAGAGGGAGAAGCAGGCTCCATGCACCTGGAGCCCGATGTGGGATTCGATCCCGGGTCTCCAGGATCGCGCCCTGGGCCAAAGGCAGGCGCCAAACCGCTGCGCCACCCGGGTTCCCTCTCTTGTGATTTTGAATGCATTTGTCTAATGTCTAGTGATGTCAGGCATCTTTTCATGTACTTATGGGTCGTACCTATCTCTGCTTTGGAGAAATCCTTGCTCTTTATGTAGCCTATGTTAAATCACCATCATTTTTTTGTAAATTCCCATTTTATCACCAAAAAGATGTTCTAGAAAGGGCAGGATCTCCTCAGAGCCTGCTCCTGCTATAATTTTCTCTCAACCTGAGGCCTCATTTTCCGGACAATGATAAGGTACCATTGCAGCAGCCAACACAAGTAACAATATGAATGCTAGAAACACAATCCTTGAGGACAGGTACAGGAGAGGAGACATTTGGGAAAACCTCTTGAACCACAGGACATAGATCTCTACTCCTCCACACTTACTTACCATCTGAGGCCCTGTACCAATCGAGCTGCTCAGTAACTACCCGGCTCTGAAAAAGCACCTGGATTGGCTGTTGGGGGGCAGCAGGTGGGGCTGGCAAGAGACTGCACTAAGTCTTCAGATCAGATGGGGACCGCATTAAGGGAAGAATGGGCACAGAGCTGAGAGGAAGAGATGGGGGCATGGAGGCCTCATTTTAAGAAGATTGGGTTGGGGTGGTAGGAACTGGGGCGGCAAGAGTCGGGCGCAGTTTAGCAAAGATGAAGTGTTCTCAGGATGGCTGGGAAGTGAGGGGTTGAGTCGGTGTGGACAAGAAGATACATAGAAGACTTGGGATAGGGCTGAGATCAGAGCTATCAAGAAGGGGGTGAGCTCAGCAGGGCATCCGCTTGGATGGCAGGCATTGAATAAGGGTGGGTGGAGGTGGGGTGTTAGGGCTGAGCAGACCTTCGGGGACTGGGATAAGAAAGCTGAGTCGGAAAAGGGGAAAGCCATGGCGGTGGGGCTCAGAGGAGGTTGGCGTGGAGCACCGGGATTGCCACAGGGGTTGAGGGGTGAGGGTGTGACGCTTCAGAGGGCGGAGGAGGGATGTGTCTGCGCTCGGGGTTGGAACTGGACTAGCAGGGGGTCAAGAGTGTGGCTGCATTTACACAACACAGAGGTGAGGGGTGGGGGTACGTGCTGGGCTCGGGTCCCCGGGTCCCCGTCGGGAGAAGATGGAGGGGGCGGTCAGCAGGGGCTGTGCGGGCTGAAGGCTCGGCTCCGAGGGGGGTAGGGTGCGGGGCTTAGAACCGGGAAGGCAAAGGGTTCTGAAGCGGGACAGCGCAAAGGCAACCAGGGGCGTGGGACCACGGAAGGCGCCCGCCGCCCGCTCGCATCTCGACCCCGCCGCCCCTCCCCCCCTCCCCCCTGACCCCGGACTCACCAGAGCGAGCGGGGAGGGGGCGGGGGTCGCTCCTGGCCGCTGCAGCCTCTGCGCCTCTGACCCGACGCTCCGGCCTCTCCGCCACCGACACCCGGAAACTGCGCTGGCGGCGCCTGACGCCATCCCCGCGCTTGGGCGCTCGGCCCCGCCCCCGGCCCGCGCAGCCAATGGCGGGGCGGGAGGAGCCGCGGGGCGGGGCCAACGGTCCTGAAGCCAGCGGGTGAGCGATCTGGGAGGCTCGGGACTCCACTAAGGCGCGAGGGAGATCCGCCTGAAGAGGTGAGGCTCTTTTTCTTTCTTTCTTTCTTTCTTTCTTTCTTTCTTTCTTTCTTTCTTTCTTTCTTTCTTCTTTCTTTCTTTCTTTCTTTCTTTCTTTCTTTCTTTCTTTCTTTCTTTCTTTCTTTCTTTCTTCTTCTTTCTTCTTCTTTCTTTCTTTCTTTCTTTCTTTTCTTTCTTTCTTCTTTCTTTTTCTTTTTCCCAGCTAGGAAGTTTTATTAGTGAGTTCCACAGAACTTTCAAGACAAGTTGTCTCAAATCATACAAATTCACCCATAGCCCAGAGAGGGAATATCCCCCAACTCATTCTGTGGTTAGTTTAAACTTTCCGTTGAAATAGGACCAAGAACAAAAGTACGAGAAAACTAACGTGCCCGTCATCCTCATGAACAGAGGGGCGATAATGCTGAACCAGGAATTCTCACAGCAAATCCAACAGTACATAGAAGAAGACAGTAGACCAGGGCTAAGTTCAGTTTGTCCCGCGAAAGCAAAGGTGATGGAACATCAGAAGTGTATAGATGGGGGCACCTGGGTGGCTCAGGGAACTAAGCAGCCGGCTCTGCTCTCACCTAAGGTCACGATGGGAGGCTCGCGACTCTGCTAACGGGCGAGGGAGATCCGCCTGAAGAGGTGAGGCCACTAAGCGAGGTCACCGACGTACGAGGAGCTTGGCCTAACGCCCGCCTCTAGCAGTGTCTGCTCAGACTAGATCCCGGCTTCTGGGTTCCTCATCTCGCCTGGCTCAGCGCCATCCGTGTAACGTTGGCCTCCTGAGGGGTAGGTTCCCACTCGTAAAAGCAGACCAGTGACGTCTACGCTATTTTTGCCTCCCTGAGGGCATGGGCGCTGGTGGTGCTTCCAGCCCGGGGGCTCTGAGGAAAAAAAGTGTACGTGTTTTGACCATATCTTATGCCAGCAGGGCGTCTTTAGCTCCCCGCTCCCTCCTCCTCGGGACTTTCTCCTGTACCTGCCCATCAGCCCCTGAGGCACGAAGCTCCAGGATCTGGTTATTCTCATCTAGCCAGGTACTTGTGTGTTTGCTTTCCTCGGTAGAGTTGACATTTCTTTTGCAGGTGGACTCCGAACAAAAGGTCCAAAGTGTGTGGGAGGGGGGATGTCTGCTTTGGTCACTTCTCACCTGCAGGCTTTGGTCCAGCGGGGAGCGTAGGGCCTGAGTGTGGGGACAGTGCCCGGCGGCAGAGGTACTACTAACTGCAGGTCCAGGGGGACTTTGGGAGTATTTATAGGGCTGGCCTGGGAACAGGGCAGCTCTTGGAAGCAAGCTCCACTGACCTGGGCCAGGGGTTCTGTGACCCGTAAAAAATGGCTGGTGGAGATGTGGCCCTGAGTGTGTGGGGGCTGCTTCTCTGGTAATAATCTCTCCGGGAGTGAGAACCACTTCTCGGTTTTAGACTAGATGAGGCTGAGAGCATTCAGTATGGTTAATAGTTGAGGAGGGGGAGCCGGATAAAGAAGAGGTGGTCTATGTATACAATGGAATATTCCTCAGCCATTAGAAACGACAAATACCCACCATTTGCTTCGACGTGGATGGAACTGGAGGGTATTATGCTGAGTGAAGTAAGTCAATCGGAGAAGGACAAACATTATATGCTCTCATTCACTTGGAGAACATAAAGCATAGTGAAATGGAATAAAGGGAAAGGAGGAAAAATGAGTGGGAAATATCAGAAAAGGCAACAGAGCATAAGAGACTCCTAACGCTGGGAAACGAACTAGGGCTGTGGAAGGGGAGGCGGGCAGGGGTGGGGATGACTGGGTGACGGGCACTGATGGGGGCACTTGATGGGATGAGCACTGGGTGTTATTCTATATGTTGGCAAATTGAACACCAATAAAAAGTAAAGTTATTAATAAAAATAAAAAGAAGGGATCCCTGGGCGGCGCAGCGGTTTGGCGCCTGCCTTTGGCCCAGGGCGCGATCCTGGAGACCCGGAATCTAATCCCACGTCAGGCTCCTGGTGCATGGAGCCTGCTTCTCCCTCTGCCTGTGTCTCTGCCTCTCTCTCCCTCTCTCTGTGACTATCATAAATAAATAAAAAATAAAAAGAAAATACACTTTATAGACAGCCTGAGGCTTCTCTGCTGGGGCATCACCTTTCTCTCTGCAAAAAAAGAAGAAGAATGCCTTTAACTCTGTAAAGGAACAATTAAACTTTTCATAATTAACTCATTTTAGAAAGAATTATAAATTGTCCCCAATCAGGTACCCTGGTCCATTGTTGAAAACCTCATCAGAAGAATCCCTGTTGTGTAGCTTCTGTGCCATGGTTTTCTTCCGTGTAGCATTGAGAGATCTCTACATGTCCCAAAGCCAAAGTGGCCATCTTCTCTAGAAAAAGCCCTCCTAGAAAACAGAAAGGACATAGTTAGTTCTGCATTTCCCCTGCTCTCTCCAGCCATGGGACTTTATCTTCCTCAGATTTACCTGACTCTCACGTTCGACTGAACATCTCTTATGCAGCAGAGAATGAAAGAAGAACCTTGGAGGAAACCTATGTAGACAATTAGTGATGCACGCCATTTCCCATGCCTCTCACAATGTGTATCTCTGGTCCTATTAGGACATCTCAGTCCATAATCACAGTAACCAAAATCACTACAGATCTGGGATCCTGAAAATAATCCTATGCATGGTAAACTTCCATTATTTTCCCATGTCTGTCCATAGTGGCCTCACAATTTCTCTGGGGAGGCCTTTGTATGTGGCTTGGCATTGAGTACAAGCAAGATTTTCATCCTGCTCACCTGGGCCCTTGGCCGAGTGCCCTCGTGAAGTGAACAAACTGTGCAAGTATAACACAGAAGCACCCTCTCTCCAGAAGCAGTTTACTTTGGTCCCCTTTGGACTTGGTCTCATAGGCATCATTTGCTGGGGAGGAGGAGAGAGACATGTTTCTATTTTCCTAGGTGCTTTATCCTACAAGTTGATTCACACCAAATAAATGTGTGAGTCCAACCAACAAAGTTACCTAACTCACTGACTTTCTCACTGCAGGCTGTGGCTAATGAGTGAGTGAGGCAGGTCACAGCAAGCACTAAAACACAAAATATTATTTTTGAATGCAAACAATATAGAAAAAAACAGAGTGTATAGTAAGTTTGTCTTAGAAATTGCTTATGTTGGCTCATCCAGGTGGCTCAGCAGTTGAGTAATTAATGCCTTTGGCTCAGGGCGTGTGTGGTCCTGGTCTGGGGATCGACTCCACATTAGGCTCCATGAGAGGAGCCTGTTTATCCCTCTATCTCTCTGCTTCTCTGTCTGCATCTCTCATGAATAAATTAAAAAATATTTTTAAAAACCTGCTTATGTCTTAATGTATGTACTGAGTTGTGACATAAAATGTAGCTCGCAGCCCAAGAACAGTATAATCAGAGGAGAAGTGCCCCTCTGGAAAGGAACCATCTTCTGACACTCAGTAGCAGTATGCCCATGGGGCAATTTACCTTCCCTTTCTTCTCCATTTCCTTATTATAAAAGGAAGAGACAAACTATTACCTAAGGCCTCTCCCAGTTAACAGTCTATGGGGTCTGGACAAAGGGAATGGAGAGCGGTGGATCAAAAACCAGGAGGAGGAGGGAAGTTTTCCTGCCACATTACAGGAAGGAGTCCTATTTTTCTGCCTTCCATTGGCCTTGAAGGCTAGCTCTCTTAGCCCAAGACTCTGTAGCCAGGCCTGATGGTCACTACCAGCAGGAACAGGTGCACCCAACCCCTCTCCACCCTTTTTCTTTAAAGGAGTAGTGACAGTAGATGCTCTGCGTTACTTCCATTCTAACTCAGATTTGTCTGGGAAGCTAATTTGGCTGGATCCAGGCAAAGCATTAGACCAAATCAATATTCTTTCTGCCTTTGGTAGTTTCCTGGGTGTAAAACAAGGGGAGTGAAATAGGAGTTCTAAAATCTAGTTCTGAAATTCTGCTTTAATAATTGCCAATTTACTTTGAGCCTCCTTCTTCATCTTCCTCTGCTGCTGCTCTATGAGAATAAATCTGTTTTGGAAGAAAACATATCACAGGTACCCATCTCAATGACTATGCCTCCAAATCTGTATTCATTCCCTTGTATTTTAAGTCTTATTCAGTCTTTTTTGAGGGCAGGAATTCTATTTGTTAGTAATCCTTTGACTCTTCCATAGTCCCAACTTGGAATCTTGTGTGCAGCTGGCAATACATTTTATTGACTGTTTTAGATGACATTCAACAGGTAATTCCTTTTTTTAATTTTTTATTTATTTATGATAGTCACACAGGGAGAGAGAGAGAGAGAGGCAGAGACACAGGCAGAGGGAGAAGCAGGCTCCATGCACTGGGAGCCTGACGTGGGATTCGATCCCGGGTTTCCAGGATCGCGCCCTGGGCCAAAGGCAGGCGCCAAACCGCTGCGCCACCCAGGGATCCCCTCAACAGGTAATTCCTAATAAAAATTCTTAGAAGTAAGAAAAGAAAAGAAAAGTATCTACCAGAAACCTAAATAGCAACATTGTTTTAAAGTCAAGGACAAGAGTAGAAAGCCTTTTATTCCTGTTACTATTCATCACGTTGAAGAGGTCCTAATCAATGCAATAGGAAAAAAAATTCTCTTAAAGATTCCAGGCATCTCAATATAATAGGAAAAATTAAGTATTGGAAAGGAAGAAACAAAACATATTTGCATATGAAATTATGGACAACCTAAAAGGCCCAAGAGAATCAACTTCAGTTTTACTGGAAGTGGGATGCCTGGGTGGCTCAGCAGTTGAGCACCTGCCTCTGTCTCAGGGCATGATCCCAGGGTCCTGGGATCGAGTTCCACATCAGGGTCCCTCAATGGACCCTGCTTCTCCCTCTGCGTGTGTCTCTGCTTCTCTCTTTGTGTCTCTCATGAATAAATAAAATCTTTAAAAAAAATAAATTTTACTGGAAGTGATATGAGAATTCCGTAAGATGGCTAGACACAAAATCAAGAGCTCAACATGCAAAATTCAATAGCTTTCCTTGTTCCACAAATAACTAACTAACAAATGGAAGAATGGTTCCATTTATAATATCAATAAAAGGAAGGACACCTCGGTGGCTCAATGGTTTAGTGCCTGCCTTCAGCCCAGGGTGTGATCCTGGAGTCCAGGGATCGAGTCCCACATCAGGATCCCTGCATGGAGCCTGCTTCTCCCTCTGCCTGTGTCTTTGCCTCTGTGTGTGTGTGTCTCATGAATAAATAAATAAAATCTAAAAAGAAGATTTTAAAATATCAATAAAAGGCATAAAGTACCTAGGAATAAACTTACAGCAAAGAATGGGGAAGACCTTTGAGATGAAAACATTAAAACTCTTCTGAAGGACATTAAGAAATGAATACATGATGATACCATGTTCCTAGAATATTGCAAAAATGTCAATTCTCTTCAAACTCAGTGCAATCCTATTGAAATCCCAAGATAGTTTTTTTTTAAATAAAAACTGGCCAGCTGACATTTGGTAAAGGGATATGCAAGTCTAGCTATGAAAAGTATGAAAAAGGAGGTCAAAGAGCAGGAGCTTAACTCTACCAGACATCAAAATAGGTTATTATAAAGCAGTTGGAATTAAGTATATAGTGTGATATGGGAAAGGAAACCAGACTGATAAGAGTCCAGATAAGAATAGTATTTTAGAGACGCCTGGGTGGCTGAGTGGTAGAGCATCTGCCTTTGACTCACAGGGTGAAGCCGGGTCTGGGGATCAAGTCCCACATTGGGCTCCCTGAGAGGAGCCTGCTTTTCCCTCTGCCTATGTCTCTGCCTCTCTCTGTGTGTCTCATGAATAAATAGAATCTTACCAAAAAAAGAATAGTATTTTAGATCTGTTAAGAAGGAAAGAACCATTCAATAAAAGATTTTAAAGTAAGTGGATCTTTCTGTAGGGAGAAATTGTTAGATCCCCTACCTCAACCATACCAAAAAACAAAACAGATTCTATACAGCTTATAAAATATAAATTACAACAAATATAAGTATAGAGGAAGACAGTATAAAGTCAACAAATGCCTCGCTAACAAGACCCACATCCCATAGGCCACAAGGAAAGAACTCGCAGATATGGTGACAGACTCAAAACACCTCCCATTTCTTGTGGTCTCGCCCCCTTCACCCTTGGATTGTTGGTCATCTTCTGGTGACTGATAAAACTCTTTTCATATTAAATATATTAATCCTTTCAGTGGCTTCCACTGAATTTCAGTGTTTCAAATGCTGGCCAGTGTTTCAATCTTTAAGGAGACAGAACAGTGGAATAAGAGCACAGGATTTGCAGTAAAGTGAAACTGGGTTCTGCTTTGGGTTTTGCCACTGGAGCCTTAAGCTGATCCCCTTTTATGTATGAAAGAGGGATGGTAATATTGTCCTCCCAGGGTTTTGGGCATGAAATTGGATATGGAAAATTCTCCTTCCTATGCTTGACATAAACCAGTGCCAAGTCATTATGGAATTGAAGAAAAGGTAAACAGGCAACCTTCAGGAACAGGTGACTATAGACATGACATGCTTTGGAGTAGCCTGATGCAGGATTTAGCTGCAGTGTTTTAACCAAATATATTCACATAATGCAGTGTGTGGAAAAAGCTGCTGAGTAAATCTAATTAATCAACAAGATGATATTTTTATCTTTAAGCCATGTCCTTTTTTCCAGGATGACTGATATAGCTCCATGAGGGTGGATACTATCTCTCCTCATTTCAGCCAGGAAAGAAATCAGTGGTAGTCTGAAAGTGACTGGTGAGTCCATCTAACCAATATAATTTTGAGTTGAAGAAATGTTACTCTCATGTTAACTTGGCCTTCTTAAACCTAATGTCCCAACACAGTCTAATGGCTTGTTGCCTTGTTTACAATCCATAAATCTCCTGGCAATGGAAAGTTCCTTTAAAAATCCCCAGAATATATTTTGCAATATAAGAATGAAGTACATGTCAGTCTGTCAGACAAAAGAGGAATACCAAGTAGTAGTAAGTGAGAAAGTGGCTTTGATTTTAGGTTTGTAAATTCTGAATCTATTATAAAGACAAAAGATTTTCTGGAAATCTGGGATCCCTGGGTGGCGCAGCGGTTTAGCGCCTGCCTTTGGCCCAGGGCGCGATCCTGGAGACCCGGGATCGAATCCCACATCGGGCTCCCGGTGCATGGAGCCTGCTTCTCCCTCTGCCTGTGTCTCTGCCTCTCTCTCTCTCTGTGACTATCATAAATAAATAAAAATTTAAAAAAAAAGATTTTCTGGAAATCTGAATTAATGGTTGTCCTTACCTCAATGAGACAGAAAACCATAATCAAAATCCTTACTACTACAGTCACAGATATTGCCAAGATGAGTTTGTCGTTATAGCCATAACCTGGAACTTCTTTTGTGAGCTAAAAAAAAAACCCTAAAAACAAAGAACAATTTTTTAGAAATCACAGAAACAGGATGAAAGCTAACTATATTTAAGCTACTCTAAAACCTCATTCTTTCAGGAGTGCTTACAGTCTAAATATACCAAATCTAATGTGTTATGTAATTTTATCATTAGCCCTTTCTTCAATTATATATTTATCTTGTATGTTAAGTCCTCTTCTCATCTACCTGGGAATAGTGGCACCATTCTCTAAATGAGCAAAGTGGCAGATCACTGTCTCAGCCAACGTTAATGGCTAAGACAAGACCCAGACTGGGAGGCCCCGGTCCTTGTGCGTGGGTGCTTTAATTGCATGTCCTAAACTGACTAAAAGTTCAGACCCCATGGTTCAGGAGTTATCCTCACCTCACTTGACTCCTGCCCTTTCTGTTCACTCTGGGCTTCTGTGCTCTCATTGATATAGTTCTCAGTCTTCCATTGGTCTGTATCCCACTCTGCCTTGGACACCTTTACTTCCTGCTGCTCACTGAGAAGCTTCATCAGGAGGCCTGTTCTGGAGATAAGCCTGGCACAGGCCAGTTGCACGTTGGCCTCAGAGCAGTCCATTTTCAAAGTCCGGATAACATGAGAAATGAGCCTTCTCACGTCATTATTCGGGATGAGGGACCGTAGCTGCTGGTTTAGCTGAATTTCAAATAGATCACCTGCGGATGAGAGCTTTGCAACACTGAAGCCTGTGGGCTTTGGGGGCAAGTCAGGGACCAAGTTGTGGTATTCCCATTGTGTTTCATTGGTTTGTTTAACAGTCTGAACAAAGTTGTCTCTGGTGGTAGTAGAATATGTAGTGGAAAGATTCCTACGGTTTGTGAATTCAGGGGAGTTTGTTCTGATACAGTAGTGCTTCCTGGAGAAATAATCTCTTCAGAAACATTCTGTGCAGTAGTGTTTTCTACAGTATGGTTTTCTTTAGAAGGTTCTGAAAGAGTAAATAATTCTGGAAAAGGATTTTCCTGAGTCTGTTCTTCTGAAGATGAAATAGCCTCCCGTGAAGGGGAATCTATGAGGCTCCTGACTGCAGGCAATGGAGGCCTCTGTGCAGGCATCAATATATTCAAGTGTGAGTTTTTCTTTCTGAACTTTTGATTTTGTTTGGTCTTGGGTGTTCTTCGGACTATACGTGAGTGAATTTTATGGAAAATATACTTTTTCCCAGAATATGAGACTGGTCTGGAAGCCTCCATTTCCCTAACTCTAGCATTTGCATCTTCTAAAACAACAATGGCTTAGGTTAAGTCTTTTGAGTTGTTTCGCAACTTAGGTAGGGATTTTGGAGCAGTGGAGGCAGAAGGCCTGCCCATTATGTATTGCTTCAGGAAAGAAGAGGCTGCTGCCTTGTGCTCCTTTATGAATGAAGGCTCTGTGTGGACGGAGTTTCCCACTAATTTCCTGGGCCTCTGGTCCATGTGAAGCTGCTCCAGCTCCCTTGGGGATGGTCTACTGAGCCTTCTTTCCTTGGGCATGTTCTTCACAAATGACTGGGCACTCTGTTTCCCTTGGGTGCTCTGAACGTCCACTTCCTTATAGTGCCTTTTCTGTAGGTCCTTAGGGCCCTTGAGAACCCTGTTTATTCTAAACCACCTCTTCCACACATTCTCAGCCTTGGGAAGGCTCTTTTCCTGTCCTTGGGCAGTTTCCAATTTCTTTGGAAAGATTTGGCGTTTAAATTTGGGACCGAAAAGCCTGGGAGGTATAAGCATGGCAGTTTTCTCTTTCTTTTTTACCTCATCAATTTTTTCTTGAATTTCTGCATCTAACAAAATTTCCAGGAAAGAGACTTTCCTCAGTTTATTTTTGTAAGTTGAATTGTTGGGTCCATGTTCAAAGGAATGGCCCTTTGTGTTGTTTGTCAAGTAACCCACAGAATTGTCTCCATCTTGGACATTTGAAAACAGAATTTTAATGAATGGTAATAACATTGATTCTACATCTTCTAGATTTCCCTCTGACAAATAAGGTAATATATAATTCAGTACACAAATAACATCACTTTAATCATTAAAGTCTAGCTGCTCATTCATAAAGGCTGACAGACCAATGCCATTTTTGTCTGAGGATGACTTCCCTGGCTCAATTGTCAGATCAGTACTGGTACTCTTCTTCTGGGCTTTAAATACCTTCATGAATGATCCTTCTGCATTCCTTATAGAGACTTTTTCATCTGTCAGAAAAAGGAGACACTAGTTTTCATAATGAAAGGCTGATAGCACAGCTTTTTGTCAGTCCGCAGTCATAAATCCCAGTCATATAAATTAACAATCAGCAAATATCTGAGTACCATTTCTCAAGGACACAAACTCAAACTTGAATGTAGAATGGCAACAACAAAGGAGAAAACGGTATATTTTTTAAATGACTATTTCTTCAGAAACTTCCACAAAGTGAATAACTACATTTAGCATTATTCCATAATCCTTGATCTCCAAGGGCCAATTGTCTAGTATTTAAGAAAAGCCACCAGAGCTGTCTTTGGGGAGGTGGAACCTATTCCAACCCAGCAGGAGCACCCAGCTCAACCTCTAGAGCATCATGAGGTGACAGTTGCACCTCCAGGTCACCATCAGGTTCAACCTTTAAACCTGCCCAATATCACTGTTAAACCTGCAGACGTGCAGGTTACTGTAACACCAGAACCCACTACAGAGGTGGGACCTTTGCCAGTTCAGCATGAGTCTGTCGTTCAGCCCTCTGTGCCCCTTAATGTGGAATCTTTTGCAACCCAGCATGAAGCGCTCCACTGCCTCCACAGTCCCCTGAGGAGATTGTACATGTATTTGCCAGTTCAACAGGAGACTCCAACTGAGTCCCCAGAATCTCCCACGCAGGAGAAACCTCCAACACAGCAGGAGACCCCTGTTCAGACCCCTGGAGAGGTTAAACCTTCCACAAACCAGCAGGACACCCTGGCTCAGGATTCACAGGCCCCGAGGAGGATGAATCACCTTCAACCCAGGAGGAGGCCCTGGCTCAACTTCCAGGGACTCAGGAAGAGGAGGAACCTTCTCCACCCCAGCAGGAGGCCCCTGCTGAGCTTCCACAAATTCCCGAGGAGGGTGAACCTTCCTCAATACAGGAGGAGAGCCAGGGTCATCATGCACAGACTCCTGAGAAAGCTAAACCTTCTTCAACCCAGCAGGAGGTCCCAACCCAGTATCCACAGGCCTCCGAGGAGGGAGAACCACCTCCAGCTCAGGAAGAGGCTCCCACTCAATTCAACAGATGTCTGAGAAGAGTAAGTCTTTAACCCAGGAGGAAAGCCAGGGTCAGCATCCACAGACCTCTGAGGAGGTTGCACCTTCTCCAATCCAACAAGAAGCCCCAGCTCAGCACCCACAGGCCTCCGAGGGGATCAAACCTCCTCTAACCCAGCAGGAGTCCCCAACTCAGCACCCTCAGACCCCAGAGGAGGGTGAACCTTCTCCAACCCAAACAGAGACCCCAGCTAAGTATCCAGAGTCCCTTGAGGGCATTGAACCTGTTCCGGCCCAGTCAGAGGCCACAGTTCAACATCCAAATCCCCTAGGGGAGGTTAAACCTTCTGCAACCCATCACGAAGCCCCACGTCAGCATCTACAGTCCTATGAGGAAGTTAACCCTTCTGCCACTCAGCAAGAAGCCACAGCTCAGCATCCAGAGCCTTCTGGTGAGGTTGAACCTTCTCCAACCCAGCAGGAGGTCCCAGCTCACTCTCCAGAGCATCATGTAGTAACAGTTTCTCCTCTAGGTCAGAGTCAAGCTGAGCTTTTACTCTTTCCCAAAGTCACTGTTAAACCTGTGGATCCGGCACGTATCATAACTCCAGAGTCCCCTAATGAAGTTGAAACGTCTCTACCCCAACAAGAGGCCTCAGCTCAGTCTGCTGTGTCCCCGGAACAGTTGGAACCTTCCGCAATCCAGCGGAGTTTCCAGAGCAACATCCAGCCCCTGCTGAAAATGTTGAACCTTCTCCAGTCCAGCAGGGAGTCCCAACACAGACTGGAGATCTTCCTGAGGAAACTGAACTTTCTCCAAGCCAGCAGTGGAGCTCATCTCTGCCTCAGATGCCTGTTGTAGGTGTAAAACCTTCTCCAGTCCAGCCTGAGCACCAGGCTCAGCCTCCAGAGTCCTCTACAGATATTGTAGCTCAACCTCCAGTACATCATGAGGTGACATTCTCACCTCTAGGTCCTGGTGAAGCTCAGCATCCAATGTTGCCCAATATCACAGTAAAACCTGTAGATCTGGAGGTTTTCATAACTCCAGTGCCCACTAAGTCTGAACATTCTCCAGGGCAGCAGGAGGCCACTGCTCAAGTTCCAGGTCCCCCTGAGCAGGTTGAACTTTCTCCAGCCCAGTCCAAGCTTCTTTTCCAGTCTCCAGAGATCCCTGAAGATGAATTTCCTCCAGGCCAACAAGAACTCATACTTCAGACTCGAGACCCTCCTAAGGAGATGGAACCTACTTCAGCGCAACAGGAGGTCCCAGCTGAGCCATCAGAGCCCCCTAAGGAGATTGAACCATCTGCAAATGAATATGCAGTCTCAGCTCATTCTCCAGGGCCCACTGAAGACGTCCAGCCTCCAGCCCAACCAGAAGTTCCATCTCAGCCTCCTGTTCCCCAGCAGGTCCCAGCTATATCTCCTGAGCCCCCTAAGGACGTAGAGCCTTCTCCCACACAACGGGAATCCCCAGCCCAGTCTTTAGAACTTGCTGACAAAGCGGAACCTCTTCGAGTCTCTCAAGAGACCCCTTCTCAGCTTCTACAGTTTCCTGAGAAGGTGGAATCCTCTCCAGTCCTGCAAAAAGCTCCATCTCTACCTCTAGAGCCCCTTAAGGAGGTAGAACTTTCTCCAGCCCAACAGGTGGCACAGACTCAGCCTTCGGAGCTCCCTGAGAAGCTAGAGTCATTTCCAATTCTGCAGCAGGCTTCAACTCAGCCCCCAGAGCCCCATCGAGAGGCAGAACCTTCTCCAGCTCAGCCTCCAGAGCCATCTAAGGAGGTTGAACCACAACTTCCAGTCCATAACGAGATGACAGTTCCACCTCAAGGACAAGATCAAGCTCAGCATTCAAGCTTGCCCAGTGTCACTGCTAAAGCTGTTGACCTGGAGCTTACTGTACCTCCAGAGCCTTCTACAACCCTGCAGCAGACTCTAGCTCCTCCAGAGGATCCAGAGGTGACACTTCCACATCTAGAACATGTTGAGGCTCAGAGTCCAAGTTTGTCTGAAGTCACAGTTCAACCTTTAATCTGGAGCTTACCATAACACCAGAACCCATTACACAGGTTGAAACTTCAACCATGCAGAGACTCCAGGTCCTCCTTTAGAGCCACCTAAGGAGTTTGTAGTTCAGCCTCCCATGTATCGGGAGGTGACAGTTCCAACTCCAGATCAGGATCAAACTCAGCATCTGTTGTTACCCAATGTAACGGTTCAGCCTTTGGACTTGGTGCTTACCATGACTCCAGAACCCCCCATGTAAGTTGAACATTCTACAACCGTGAAATAAACTACTGCTCCTCCAAAGGACCTGGAAGTGACATTTGCACATCAAGAGCAGGTTCAAGCTCAGCATCCAATCTTGACTGAGGTCACAGTTCCACCTTTGGACCTGGGGCTTCCTATGACTCCAGAATTCACTAAGGAGATTGAACATCCTCAACCTATGCAGGAGACTGCAATCCAGCTTCCAGGGCCACCTAAGGAGGTTACTGTAGCTGAATGTCCAGCATATCAGGAGGAGACCGTGCCCTGGTCTGGACCCTGCCCTTCTGACCTCCGGCCTTCGGGGATCCCCCGAACCCTGGTCTTTGAACTCTTCTGAACTCCTGCTGGAATCGCCCCAGGCACTTACCCCCTCAGCAGAGCCGGGGGGCTGTAATAACTTGAGGTCCTCTGCTCCAGCCCAGATGTCGGCCCTCCTAAGCAGTTGACTGAGACTTTGGTTCCATTCCTGGACACGGATTCAAATGGTGAGCTGCCCCCAGAGACAGATCAGTATCTGAATGACAAGCCAACCCTGCAGGAAAGGCTCTTGCAAGTGGTTCCCACGTTGGGTTGGGATGTGAGAATCAGACCATAGTTCTGCCGCCTCCTCCACTCAAAAGTAAGATGTAAACTGGAGATGAGCCAGAAGATCACCAGTCATTTGAAATACTTGCTCCACCTCTGGACAGTCAGAGTTTAAAACCAACAAAGGTTTTTGTTTCATCCCCAAACCTGGAGAAAGATCTAGTTCAGCATCGAAGGCTTGCCAAAGTTGTTACTGGAACTCCAAACCAATTTGCAAATAAAGGGCTCCTAGAACAACTGCTGGATGATTATTCAGATTCTGGTATGGATATCATATATCCTGAGGAAAACCGACCAATGGATTTCCCAGGGGGACCAGATCAACCCCCAAAGCTCCCTGAGGAGCCTGAAACTTCTTCGCTCCTGCGGGAGACCCCTGCAGGACCTCTCCATTCCACTGTAGAGAAACCTGAACCTTTCTTGCCTGGGGTGGAGGCCCAGGCCAAGCATCCAGAGTCCCCCAAAGAGACAGAAACACCTCCACTTCAGCGATAGAAGTGGATAGAAACACGCTCTATCTCAGCCTCCAGAGATCCTTAAGGAAGCTGGAAATCCGGTAAGCCCACCGGAGGCCCCAGCTGTACCTTCACGTACCCCTGAAGTCCAACAGGAAGCCTCAGCTCAACCTACAGAGATAACTGAGGAAGTAGAACCTTCGACCCCTCACAAGGCCCGAGTTCAGCCACCGGAGGAGGAGGTACCACCCCAGGAGGTAAATGTGCCATCTCTGAGTCAGAATGAAGCTCAGTGGCCGAAATTACACAATGTCACTGTTAAACCTGTAGATTTGGCACTTACTGTAACTGTGACTCAGCCTCCACAGCACCCCGAGAAGGCTGAGCCTTCTCCAGGCCCACAGGAGGCCCCAGATCAACCCGAGGAGGCTGGGCCTACTCCGGTCCCACAGGAGACCCCAGCTCAGCTTGTAGAGCTCCCGGAGGAGGCTGGGCCTACTCCCATCACACAGGAAGCCTCAGCTCAGCCTGCAGAGCTCCCCGAGTAGGCTGGACCTACTCCTGTCCAGGAGGATGCCCCAACTGTAGTTTCTGAGTTTCCTATAGAGTATCCACTTCTAAATCTACCTCAGAATGATGAGCTAATCGCTCCCATTTTATACTTCAGTATACAACTTACTTAAAGTTGCCCAGTGTTACATATAAATCTGTGGATGTGGAATTTAGGAAGTTAGGCTCCTAACTCCGGAGCCTACAAAGGATGTTGAATCTGCTACAGCCCAGCAGGAGGCCCCACTTCAGCCTCTTGAGCATACTGAGGAGGCAGATCCTTCTTCACCCCAGCAAGAGACCTCAGCTAAGCCTCCAGAGGAGGTTGAGCTTTCACATGAGCAGGAGCAACCAGCTCAGCCTTTGGAGCCTCCTGCGGGGATTGAATCTTCCCTAATTCAGCAGGACACCCCAGCACAGCCTACTCCAAGCGTACAGGAACCAACAGCTCAGCTTTCTGAGCCTTCTGGTTCAGAAGTTGAACCTTCTGTGACTCAGCAGGAGACCCCAGCTCAGCCCACCACCCCCCCCAAAAAATCCTGAAGAGGAAAAACCTTCCCCCCAAGAGGAGGCCTCCGCTGAGCCTGCAGAGCTCCCTAATGAGGCAGAAACTTCAACCCAGCAAGAGACCCCAGGTTTCCAGGGGAGATAGAATCTTCTGCAACCCTGCAAGAACAATGATCTCAGCCACCAGAGCTGTCTTTGGGGGAGGTGGAACCTATTCCAACCCAGCAGGAGCACCCAGCTCAACCTCTAGAGCATCATGAGGTGACAGTTGCACCTCCAGGTCACCATCAGGTTCAACCTTTAAACCTGCCCAATATCACTGTTAAACCTGCAGACGTGCAGGTTACTGTAACACCAGAACCCACTACAGAGGTGGGACCTTTGCCAGTTCAGCATGAGTCTGTCGTTCAGCCCTCTGTGCCCCTTAATGTGGAATCTTTTGCAACCCAGCATGAAGCCCCAACTCTGCCTCCACAGTCCCCTGAGGAGATTGTACATGTATTTGCCAGTTCAACAGGAGACTCCAACTGAGTCCCCAGAATCTCCCACGCAGGAGAAACCTCCAACACAGCAGGAGACCCCTGTTCAGACCCCTGGAGAGGTTAAACCTTCCACAACCCAGCAGGACACCCTGGCTCAGGATTCACAGGCCCCCGAGGAGGATGAATCACCTTCAACCCAGGAGGAGGCCCTGGCTCAACTTCCAGGGACTCAGGAAGAGGAGGAACCTTCTCCACCCCAGCAGGAGGCCCCTGCTGAGCTTCCACAAATTCCCGAGGAGGGTGAACCTTCCTCAATACAGGAGGAGAGCCAGGGTCATCATGCACAGACTCCTGAGAAAGCTAAACCTTCTTCAACCCAGCAGGAGGTCCCAACCCAGTATCCACAGGCCTCCGAGGAGGGAGAACCACCTCCAGCTCAGGAAGAGGCTCCCACTCAATTCAACAGATGTCTGAGAAGAGTAAGTCTTTAACCCAGGAGGAAAGCCAGGGTCAGCATCCACAGACCTCTGAGGAGGTGGCACCTTCTCCAATCCAACAAGAAGCCCCAGCTCAGCACCCACAGGGCTCCTACGGGTTCAAATACTTTTTCAGAAAGTAACCACCTTTTCTATCTCTACTCTCTTCCCTTCAAAACAAATGTTGCAACTTCAGAGTTAGTTAAATAATCAGAATTCTAGTCCCACATTAAGTTTTTAATGACATGAAACACATTCTTTGCTCCTTTTATTTTTTTTTCACATTCAATCTATCGAACATTGGCATTTTAGTTTACAAATGACTTTGTCAACTTAATCCCTAATTTAAGGTCAGGGTTTCAGAAAAGTTCTTCTACAAAATATTTCATACAAGATGTGTATGAGATACTGATATTTGGGTAATATACCTTATTTGAAAGATAATTTAAAAAAAATATTTTATTTATTCATGAGAGCCACACAGGGAGAAGTAGAGACATAGGCAGAGGGAAAAGCAGCCTCCCTGAGGGGAGCCTGATGTGGGACTCCATCTCAGGACCCTGGGATCAGGCCCCAAACCCAAGGCAGATGCTCAACCACTGAGTCACTCAGGGGTCCCAATGCGCATAAAGGTTTTCAAATGCTGTAGCATTATCTCACTTAAGGCCATAGTTCCCAAGTCCCTGAGATTCTGTTTGAGGTGAGCTCTAAAAGGCTGTGTCCTCTTCTATGTCCACAACTCTAGGAGCACTCTGATGCAATTTGCTCTCCAAATTTCAAAAAGGGGTCACAGCCCAGGGACAAGACTTCAAGAAAAGCCCCAGAAATTCCCTGCACTCAAAAGGAGTTTCAGAGTTTCACATTTCCCAAAAGATGACAGAGCTAACTATAGTCTTCCAAATCCTGTCAGTTGCTTTAAATTATGGTTATAGTGGCTGTGGAACCCTTGAGCTTTAATAACCTGGTGCTTGAATTAAATCGTGGAGCTCCTCTTGGGTTCTGGCATCTGTAATCTCTTCACATGGTCTGTATTCCACAGCTATTTTACCACTTTCTGTAATAAAGTTAACAAGGATCAATTCATAGTTTTTCTTGTTCTAAAATGTGCTGTACTGGGTGTTATGCTATACGTTGGCATATTGAACTGCAATAAAAATAAATAAAATAAAATAAAATTTGCAATATAAATAATAGAACCCATTACTAGACATTATTTGAATTTAAAAAGCAGAAAATAAAAGCATTTTCCTAGAAGTTTTCTCATCTCACACTTCTGTTTTTATAATAACTATTTTTTAAAGACTTTATTTGAGAGCTAGAGAGTAAGAGAAGGGGAGAGAGAGAGAGAGCACACATAAGCGGGGGCGAGGGGCAGAGGAAGAGATAAAAGCAGACTCCCCACTGAACAAGGGAGTCTGACTGGGGCTTGATTCCAGGACCCTGGAATCATGACCTGAACCAACGGCAGACACTTAACTCACTGAGCCACCAAGGCACTCCTCCATCTCAGTTTTTAAAAAGATTTGAGAAAGAGAAAAAAAAAAGAGAGAAAAAGAATACATGTGGGGGGGAGGCACAGAAGGAGAGGGAGAGAATCCCAAGCAGATTCCCTGCTAAGTGTGGAACCCCAAATTCAAGGCTCGATCTAGGACCCTGAGATCATGACCTAAGCCAAAATCAAAGGTCCAATGTTGGACCCATCTAGCCACGCACAAGTCCCTCCATCTCATTTACTGATAAACCAATCACACTTAAAAAATCATTATGCGGGATCCCTGGGTGGCGCAGCAGTTTGGCGCCTGCCTTTGGCCCAGGGCGCGATCCTGGAGACCCGGGATAGAATCCCACGTCGGGCTCCCGGTGCATGGAGCCTGCTTCTCCCTCTGCCTGTGTCTCTGCCTCTCTCTCTCTTCCTCTGTGACTATCATAAATAAATAAATAAATAAAATGTTAAAAAATTTTTAAAAAAGCAGTTTGTCCAGATCCCCTCCCCAAAGCATATCTTCCCCCCACCAAAACATGTCTGTATTTACCTATAATCTATCTACCTACAAAGATACAGATAGATATGCAGATACAGACATAAATGTCCGTATCTTCAAGAGATTTCTAGATGTTACCTAATTCAACACCAATCTTGAGGCTGCATTGAGTATCTTTCTAAATCTGTGACCCTGTCTCTCATATTAACTATTTTTAAGGGTATCCATTCGACAATAACTCCCCATCCCACCCACAGCCCAGCCCCTGGCAACCACCATTCTTCTATTCTGGAAGCCTTTTGAGATGATCCCTTCCCTGCTGCTTTCAATCCAGCTGGAGTCCAGTTTTCCTCTCCTTGCAGATACAATATACAATACTTTGGAGAGGGGACGGGCATGCATATGAACACTTTACTGGCAGAAACAGGGCTATGTACCTTATAGACAATACAATTTCCCTTAAGGCAAAGTAGAGTTACAAGACTTTTTAGCCTAAGGAGTTTTGAATGTGTATAAGGATACCACAGCATATTAGGGCGAGGGTTGGCATATTAGGGTGAGGCCAACAACCCAAACGTTTAGTTTGGTTCTTAAAGGTTGGCAGAGTTGAGAGCTAATGGAGATTCCATCTGATGACCACGGAAGTCAATCTTCACTGGAAGAGCTGCCCAAGCTGGAAACTGGTGACTAATACAGGGTCAGGGTCAACTCTTACAAGCAAATAAAGCTTCTAATACTTAGCTAGGAGTTCTTAGTCTTTTTTAAAGATTTTATTTATTTGAGAGAGAGAGAGAGAGAGAGAGAGAGAGAGGAGAGAGAGAGACAGAGGCAGCGACACAGGTAGATGGAGAAGCAGGTGCCATTCAGGGAGCTCAACCTGGGACTGAATCTCAGGTCTCCAGGATCAGGCTCTGGGCAGAAGGTGGCACCAAACCTCTGAGCCAACATGGCTGCTCGGATTTCTTAGTATTTAAGACTCAAAGCTCTGAAGCAGGGGAGCAACTATTTGGGGACACTCTACTAATTATAAAATTGGCAAAAAAAAAAAAACCACAAAAAAAATTTTAAAAAAGGGCTCCTGGGTAGCTTAGTCTGTTGAGTATCTGATTCTTGATTTTGGCTCAGGTCATGATCTCAGGGTTGTGAGACTAAGCCCCACATTGGAGTCCATGCTGGACGTGGAGCCTGCTTAAGATTAGCTCTCTCTTCCTCTCCCTCGACTCCTCCCCTGCCTCCCTCTTTAAGAAAATAAATAAATAAAATAATATTAAAAAAATAAAATTTCCTTTGAGCACAGCCTGTAACATTCACAGCACTGTAGAACTCAATAGGGAATACAATCAACACTATTCAATAGGATGACCACTTTCAAGATTCACAAAAACATGGTTGATCATTACATCAGAATCATATTTACTCAATATGTCAGTGCCAGAAACAAAAACTGAAACCAAACTGATTCAAGAAACATAATCTAATAAATTCTCCAAGACGAAAACAATAATGATAAGAGGTTGACATGTTTTGTCTGCTTACCATGTTCCAGGGATAGTTCTAACCTTTTTATATTCGTCATCTCCTTTACTCTTACAATCTTCCCCATGATGTAAGTTGAATTGGCTTACTTTGCAGATAAAGAAATAGCAGCCTAGAGAGAATAAATACCTACAAATTTGACTCTAAAACCTAAAATTGCATAAGAAATCTAGAGACAGAGATGGACAACAGATACCTAAAGCTTCTAACCACTATATCACTACTTTGTGTTATGGGCAATCAAGAAAGAAGATTGGGTCAAACACTTCCTATGTGGAGGCAAGTCACTGTATATCTCTACACTGGGGACAAAAATATTTGCTGTCTCACACATACAACAAAGAACAAATCTGAGACTGCTGCTTTGGAAGCATTTGGTGAATAAAAGAATATGAAGTGTTTTCATCCAACTAACTTTTCAAAATGAGTTTATTTGTTCAAGGAACATGAAGTACTTTAAGGCCAAAAAAAAAAAAAAAAAGAAAAAAGAAAAAAAAAAACAATCAAGCAAGTCTTACCTAAAATCGCAACCAACAGTTTCTGGAATGCATCAGACATAACCTTCTTTAGAAAGAAGGAAGCTTCTGGGTTGTTTTCCTTTTCTTCAGAAATGATAAAGACCGTAAATCCAAACAAAACAAATGAACTTAAAATTTATAGCTGAAAGATAACTGATTTTTTTGTTGTATGTTTAAAAGGAAAGTGCATCCATGATACTTAGATCATTATCCTAGCAACTAAGGGCAGGCATAACACAAGAGTTTGGTGGAATGGCTCTGCTGTAGGTGTATCCTGGAAGGGCACATTCTTACTGCCCTGATCTCTCCCAGAAGTTCCTGAAGTACCAGAAGGGAGATGCAAGCCAAAAAGGTGGCACAAATCTCACATCACAGATTTCAAATGGACAAGTTGAAACTCTACTTCTACAGACCCTATCTACTCTCCTGTGCATCAAGGGCTGGAATCACACAGTAAGGAACAATTGGTGTTAGTGCACATGACCTGGTCTCTTCCTAAGCATTACCCATAGGAGCCTATTTGCCCTGTCCCTCCCTTAAAACCCTAAGCCTAGGGACACCTGGGTGGCTCAGGGGTTGAGTGTCTGCCTTCAGCCCAGGGCATGATCCTGGGGTCCCCGGGATCGACTACCACATTGGGCTCCTTGCATGAAGCCTGCTTCTCCCTCTGCCTGTCTCTGCCCCCTCTGTGTGTTTGTGTGTGTGTCTCCCATGAATAAATAAATAAAATCTTCAAAAACAAACAAACAACCCAGAGCTTCAGTGCTACGAACTCTGGGAAAAAAACATATCAGTCAGAATACCTTTTCTAGGAATCTGTATTTGTTTCTTTACACACTAGCCCTTTTATAGGAGGCAAAGGACTCAACATTTACACAAGAGTAAATAATTGAGTTGATAATTTTGTAAGAGTAAGAGTTGATAATTTTGCTAAATAATTGAGTTGATAATTTTGTAAGAGTAAGAGTTGATAATTTTGCTGGCATAATTGAAGGCTACAAGAGATCTGTATTTGAAGGACTAGGACTATTTTAGCACAAGGCAAATTCTTAACCAAAAATAGGAAAATTATTACTTCCCTCTTCCTAAACTTCTTGGCAGAAAGTCAGCTTTTGAATTTTAAAGCTAAAGGTTCTTTCGGGTATTGCCTATGATAAAACAAAAAAAAAAAAAACTGTATTGTAGGGCAGAAAAACTCCACCCAGGGCTTTAGCAGCTCAGCAAGGGGAAAGACTTGATGATAATCTGAAAAGATGAGTTTTGGAAAGATTCTACCTCCACTCCACTCTACCTCCACCTCTACCTCCACTGTAAACAGACCTTCCTGTAGCTTATCCAAAGGCTCCTCGACCATGCCAACTCCAAGACTCTTGCACTCATAGGATGGCAACACCACCTCTAAAGCACAGAAGAATTTCAGGCTCTGCTTCTGAAGGGGTTCCGTGGTATCTTCATTTTCCCTTTCTTCAAGGTCAGAAAGATCCTGAAGCTGTTGGGATTTTCAATTAAAGGTCCTTCCTAGGATCTCAAGATATCTTGTTATTAGAAATAAAAACTAAACTCCAGCAAACCTAGCTAACAGTTGAAGTATCCTATAGCTTCAAAATCAAGTAAGACTTGCAAATGAACTATTAGATATAGACAATTGTTTTTTATTCTACACCCTACAAATATTGGTGAAAATTATGGGCACCGCCACCCAAATCATTGAGAGTATTATTAATTTTAGGTGGCAGGCCAATGTTCAGGTCCTTCCACTTAGAGGACTCTCACATCTCCCCACTTCCAGTTCTCTCTTCTCTAATGTCCAGGATTTCAATGTTGAAGTGAGTCTGATTAGTCAAAGAAAATCTATAAAGTTTCCCTTGATGATCCTTTTGATCATCCATTGAAACCAAATAATAATTTGCCAATTCTTGGCATTGGGAGCTCTTTAGGGCAAGGGCCTGATGTTGAACTGCTTTATGTTTGGTGCCAAGATGAACCTAAAGACAGGAGAGAGAGACCGAAAAAGATCACAACCTGCCACATAGGCTAGTTTTGTATACACCCGACAGTTATCAATACCTATTTCATGAACTGATTGTGAAGATTAAATAGGGAACAACATTGTAAGCAATGAGCTCATAGTAAGCCCTAAATGAATGTTATTTATCATTTTTAAGCTACAGTACTTTTCTGCATCATTTCTAGGGCCTCTGATTAATTGGATGATTTCCTTCACCTCTAGTGGTGAGAGTGACGATGAAAGCAAGGAAGCCCTCCAGAAGCAAATGATAGGGTTGTAGGTGAGAAAAGGAAGTAAATTGTTTTTGTTGTCCCATCCTGTAGCTCCTGTCTGAGAACACAACCTGAAGAGCAGACAATATGGACCTAACACGGACACAGGACCTGAGTCTGCAACACTCCTCTCCCCAAGTTACTAACCTGTTAGAACAATGAATATACATACTTCTATAAATTTTATAAGCAACAAAAAAATTAGAGGTTATTTGCATTAAATAGCTCCTTTGAGAATGCAAACGCCTCCAGTGTTAACTCGCTAAATAACTCACATTCTGCTGTGAATTTCTTACATCCACTAGTTTCATCTTAAATGCCTATGTCAACTTTAGGCAGGATGTAGTATATTAACATATTCATAAATATTTAAATAATGCAAATAAAGTCATAGCACTATTTTTTAATTTTTTTAAGTTTTATTTATTCATGAGAGACACACAGAGAGAGGTAGAGACATAAGCAGAGGGAGAAGCAGGCTTCCTTGGGGAGCCAGATGCAGCACTGGATCCCACAACCCCAGGATCACGCCCTGAGCTCAACCACTGAGCCACCTACGTGTCCCAGCACTATTAATTCTTTTTTTTTAAAGATTATTTATTTATTTATTAGAGACACAGAGAGAGACATAGACACAGAGAGAGACAGAGGGAGAAGCAGGCTCCATGCAGGGAGCTTCACGTGGGCGGCGCTGAACCACTAAGCCACCTGGGCTGCCCTATTAATTCTTCACTCGAAAGGTGCCCCCGCGCTTCTTCAAGAGAGGCCGGTCCGGGGGGCGGGGCCGGCTCGGCGGGAGTGGGGGGAGACCGCCCCGTTCCCGCCCGCCCTGGCCCCCCACTCTGGGCGGGTCTCTAACTCGACTTCCCCTCCCGCAGCGCCACCGCGCCAGAGTCCTAGAGTTTCCTTCCTCTCTTCCAGTGTATTTTTAGGGTAGAGTCAAAGGGTGAGCTTCCAGGATCCCAGGGTGCGGTCATCTTTAGAGCAACTGGCTTCAGCGGCACCGCCAGAGAAGATTTAGAGTACTAAGCCGTTAGTAGTTCCCTACTGACCTTTAAACATTTAGATTTCTCCGTCCTGCTAGGGCCTGCTAGGGCGTGATCCCGGGATGCCAGGATCCGTCCCACCTCGGGCTCCCCTGGGGGAGCCTGCTTCTCCCTCTGCCTACCTCTCTGCCTCTCTCTGTGTGTCTCTCATGAATAAATAAATTCTTAAAATCTTTTTTAAAAATGTCCTGGGGTTTCTAAACAGTGGTTTTCAGACCGGAGCTGGTCATTGATGAAGTTTTCACCAGTCCTTGGCAAAACAAGAAAAGGACCATATAATCAGGGTTTACTATATATATATATAAAATTCATTTATTTGTAAACTAAATTTATATATATATATATATAAAACAAACTCTATCCCATTATCCTAAAAATATGACCTTCATTTTTCATGCTAAAAAATTGTTTTATGAGGCGTTGCTGATAGAGGATAGTTTTTTATTTATTTATTTATTTTTTAAAGATTTATTTATTTATTTATGATAGACACGAGAGAGAGAGAGAGAGAGAGAGAGGGGCAGAGACACAGGAGGAGGGAGAAGCGAGAAGCAGGCCCCATGCAGGGAGCCCAACAGGGGACTGGATCCCCGCACTCCAGGATCACGCCCCAGGCCAAAGGCAGGCGCCAAACCACTGAGCCAACCAGGGATCCCTAGAGGATAGTTTTAATGAGTGCTTTTACTTGAGCTTTAAAATAAAAAGTTGGAAATCTTAACCCCGCCTTAACTTTGTTGATGTTTTATTGGTCTGTGAAAACAAGTGAAGGCCCAGAAGTAGGGATATCAGTGGCCCAAGTGGGACAGTTTAGTCAAACACTGTTGTTAGCTATGTGCAGGACATTCCTCCAAGGGCCCCTTTTCTGTCTTTGCATTGTCCTTATGCATGTTTTACTCCACATTAGCACCTTCAGATCCCAAATAAAGATGCGTTTATTTTCTTAAACATCTAGATTTTAGCCCATTCTCTGAAAGCACCCCCAAATCATTGGCACCTGGCACCATCTCTTGACCCCAGCCAGCACTACTTTCTTTCTCCACCTCAATATACAAGACCCTTAGCCCCACCCATTATCTTCTTCGGAATCTTCTTTTACTTTTTTTTTTATTATTCATGATAGGCACACAGTAAGAGAGAGAGAGAGAGGCAGAGACACAGGCAGAGGGAGATGCAGGCTCCATGCACCGGGAGCCCGACATGGGATTCGATCCCAGGTCTCCAGGATCGCGCCCTGGGCCAAAGGCAGGCGCCAAACCGCTGCGCCACCCAGGGATCCCATCTTCTTTTACTTTGAAAATAGTTGGCTTTGGAGAAACGACCGGGATCCTGATACTGTTTTAAACCAAAAATTGTAGATTTTATTACCCATCTCATTATCCATTGTATTCATTGTACGTATCAACTCAATTATTATACCCATTAGTTGAGTATGTCTCCGCTTCTCTGGGTAGCTTATAAACACCTCAAGAACAATAGTTGTGGTTTATTTTCCTTCTTCTAGTGCCTGCCACACTCTTAGGTTAGGTACTGGAATATATCTAGAATTAAAAATGAATAAATCAACACATCCTTTGCACAAGGAATGCTTTAATAATTATCCAAATATAACAACTTCTTCATTGTGGTCCTCTTGGTTTGCAAATGAGAGTCAGAACCAGAGGCCTGGGCCCAGACAGGTACAAGGAGGAAGCCCGAGACAACCATTTATTCCTGGGGGATCCGGTCAGGTTTATTCGTAAATGGGAAGGAAAGAAAATAACGTGAAGCGGAGGCAAGAGGAAGGAGAAATGAATTCCTGAGTGAGAAGAGGAGCTCTGGAATGACTCTACAGCAGCCCTGTGTCCTGTCTCATCCCAAGAAACATCCTGTCATCCAGTAGGAGAGTGGCCGGCCTGCACAGTGCAACCTCCATGCTACCCTGTGGAAAGAAAACAGATTGGCTCTTGTTTTTACTACTCAGTAAGCTCCTTCTGCACCTACATGACCCAGATCTTAGAGCAGTGCTCAGAATCCCCTTCATTCCTAGCTCTCTGCTTTGTTCCCCCTGGCCCTCTGATTCGTCCCTTAAATTTCCCCTATCCGTGGTCTTTGTCCTCTACTTCCCCCAACCGATATGCTTCCACATTTTCAAAACCTCCTCTTCCTCTGAAGTATGAGAGCACCATTGTAGAAGGCTGAGAGTTTCTAAATAAATTAAAAGGTAAATAAAAAATAATCAATCTCAGGTGCAACCATTGACTCTCCCTCCAGACCAGGTCAGCCCTAATAGCCATCAGTGTCCCTTCTGCGTGGTGTTTCTAGAGTAGGCAAGGCACTTAACTCCCTCCATCCTCACAGACGCCTGGAGGCCAGTTGTAGTCAACTGGCCAGTTGTATATACAGCCAGTTGCATTCTGTATATATCCAGTTTGAAGCTCAGAAAAGTAAAGTAAACATCCTAATGTCCACCATCGTGGACAAATGCTGACAGGAGCATTTACATTTACAGAAAATGTTGCTGCCAATTAGCAAGAGGGGACCCTGTGGCAACCCTGACGGTATAGCTCAATTGCTCCCAGGCCTCCAGCAGATGGAACCAAGCAGGGATCAGCATCCAAACTGAACCAATCAGGTTCTTTATCCCAGGTATTTGGACAGGGACTAAGCCTAGACAGTCTCTGTTGCTGCTCAGGACATTAGCCCATCCACTTGGGGCAGCCAGAGTCTGTGCTGTGAAATGTGGAGGAGAGAATGCTGCTCTCTACCAAGAAAGTAGTGAAGCAAATGGACCAGGAGGCAGAAACTTGCCAGGAAAAGCTGGCTGACACTTTCCAGCTCTGCTTCCACTACCTTCCTGAGGTCTAGCCACACCTGTGTAAGCTCAGGGAGACACCTTGTGCCCTCAGGATACAGCTCCCTCTACTCACTCGAGTTACTTTGTTACTGCATCAAAAGAGTTTTATTTATTTATTTTTTTAAAGATCTATTTTTTTTAAAGATTTTATTTATTCATGTGAGACACACAGAGAGAGACAGGGACATGGGCAGAGGGACAAGCAGGCTGCCTGATGTGGGATTCGATCCCAGGCCCTGGGGATCACCACCTGAGCTGAAGGCAGATGATCAACCACTGAGCCACCAAGGCGCCCAAATATTTATTTGTTTATTTATTTATTTTGAGAGAGAGAGAGAGAGAGAGAGAGAGAGAGAGAGAGAATGAGATGACACAGCCCTAACGGGTGAGGATCAGAGGGAGAGGGGAAATCCCAAGCACAACTGTGCTGAGTGTGGAGCCTGACTCAGGGCTTGATCCATGACTGTGAGATCATGACCTGAGTGGAAATCAAGAGTTGGACCCTCAACTGACTGAGCCACCCAAACGCCCCCTTCTAAAATCATTTTAGTACATCAGAAAAAGACCCAGATCCTGGGTATTGTAAGTCAGAGTTCCAAGCCCTGCCACTCTCCCACATTTTTCTAGGCTATAAAAGGGTCTAGTCCTTGCCTACTGTGCCTTTCTCTGTCACTACAACCTTCCCAGGGCTCTGGCTGCTACCCTAGTCCCACAGTGTCCTCCCCACCAGTTCTTCATACCCCCTGCTCCAGACACAATCTTTTTTGCACAGCTGATGGCTGAGAGAAGATTGGGGCTCAGTATGTCTGGAAGGAAGAGAGAGAGTGAGAGAGAGAGAGAGAGAGAGAGAACCTGTGACAACAGAGGACTAAGACTGAGGCAGACAAGGCTTGCTCCAGCTCGCTGGGCTTGCTCCTGCGCTGGCATGTACCCCCCAGGGGCTGAGTATTTCCAGATTAGGCAAAGCCTCCCTCCCAGAGGCCTATTTAGACATCCCCACAATGGCGACAGGGAGTGGCCGGGGGTGGGGGCAGGAGGGACAGGACAACTGTTTACCCCCATACTTCCTAGTCAGGGTAGATGGTAGTTCATGCCACGTTTGAGGGTTTCTAGGGAAAGGAGATGTCAAAACAGGCAGTATAGAGATCAAGGTAAATCTTGCCTGATCAGGGAAGCTCTTCAGATGAAGAGTCTAGGGATGTGAATCAGAGTATGAAAGAGGAGAGAAGGTCCAAGTCATGGACTATGGAGCCTCCTGGAGCGGCTCTGAGGTCGGCAGTTTGCACTTGGCCTTTAATCAGACATTGGCCAAAGTATTACTTGATGGTTAGAGTGGAGCCTTCAGGGCCACCAGCCTGGTATTCGGAACTGGTTCTATGAGCCTCAGTTTGCTCATCTGTAAAGTGGGCATCATAATAGTTTCCATCACATGAAACGCTGGGTGAAATGGGCTCTGCAGGTAAAGTGCTTAGTATAGGACACACTCTCAAGAAATGTTGGCTGCTGCTGTTGCTCCTGCTCTGCTATTAACTATGCAGAGCTTTTCTAGATCCTGTACACCAAAGAATCTGCTAAGTGGATGGGCACTACAGCCACTTGTCAAGTCCTCTGCTCAGCAAAAACATTTCTGGACTCCATGGGCAGTCCGTCTGGGGACACTCCCAGACTTTGAATAGGAAGAGAAGTCCTGTGAGTAGAGCTTTCCCACCCTGAGGCCCTGGCCAGACCTTGACAGTCCTCGTGGCAAATGTTTTCTGAGTGACTCCAGTAATCCTTGCAGCAGAAATGCCTGTAGATCTGGAAGATGCCGTAGTCGAAGCTGCCGATTCCATTTTTATTTCCCTTCGATATGTTGAATCTGCTTTCCACAAAAGCCACACATAGCCCTTCAAACAGGAAGAAGAGGGTTTTAGGTTTTTAGGTTTTTAGAAGAGGGGTTTTTTTTGGGGGGGGGTTGAGCTTAAGGAGGAGGGAGATGGAGCAGAGAGGGAGATCAGGAAGCAGAAGAAAGGGAAGAAGATAGACACCTTTACGGAGGGATAGTGAAGGTAGACAGGCATTCAATTTTCAAAGAAGTGAGACTATAAATGGCAAGCAAAGACAATGGGTCCTCTTTGGGGCCCTTTACAATTACTGTCAAACAGCCAATCCCTTGGGGCCTGGTCACCAGAACTTACAGGGGATGTGTATCCAAAACCCCAAGGAAATTATAAATTATAAATGTTAACAAATGGGCCTGGGTGCCTCAAGAATGTCTAGCTACTCTAGAGGAACTTGGCTCTCTCAGTTCAAGGGCAATCAAAATGGTCAAAACTCAACGATCCAGCACCTACAAAAAGAGGAAGCAATTCAAAAACCTCCAAAGCCACCTAGCCATCAGCTTCCCCAGGATCCACTCACCTACACTCTTCACAACATGTAACATCACGTCTAGTACTGTGTTCCCTGTGTTCAGTACTGGGACTAACTTGCAATCAGCTCTGGCTGGGAGGAGCCCCGGGTGAGGGTCGTCTCTAAATGCCAGGAAAACCTTCATGGGCATGGGTCTGTGACCACAGCCAACCCCACATAGTGCAACCCCCTGAGTTTCTACAGATTATCGTCCAAAAGGAAGTGATAAGCTTCCACTGTCCCAGGCTGAATGAGTAGCCATCCCTCACCTTCCAGATATTTGGATGACAAGGTACCACTGCAGCAGCCAACACAAGTAACATAATATGAATGCTAGAAACACAATCCTTGAGGACAGGTACAGGAGAGGAGACACTCAGGAAAACCTCTTGAACCACAGGACATAGATCTCTACTCCTCCACACTTACTTACCATCTGAGGCCCTGTACCAATCGAGCTGCTCAGTAACTACCCGGCTATGAAAAAGCACCTGGATTGGCTGTTGGGGGGCAGCAGGTGGGGCTGGCAAGAGACTGCACTAAGTCTTCAGATCAGATGGGGACCGCATTAAGGGAAGAATGGGCACAGAGCTGAGAGGAAGAGATGGGGGCATGGAGGCCTCATTTTAAGAAGATTGGGTTGGGGTGGTAGGAACTGGGGCGGCAAGAGTCGGGCGCAGTTTAGCAAAGATGAAGTGTTCTCAGGATGGCTGGGAAGTGAGGGGTTGAGTCGGTGTGGACAAGAAGATACATAGAAGACTTGGGATAGGGCTGAGATCAGAGCTATCAAGAAGGGGGTGAGCTCAGCAGGGCATCCGCTTGGATGGCAGGCATTGAATAAGGGTGGGTGGAGGTGGGGTGGTAGGGCTGAGCAGACCTTCGGGGACTGGGATAAGAAAGCTGAGTCGGAAAAGGGGAAAGCCATGGCGGTGGGGCTCAGAGGAGGTTGGCGTGGAGCACCGGGATTGCCACAGGGGTTGAGGGGTGAGGGCGTGACGCTTCAGAGGGCGGAGGAGGGATGTGTCTGCGCTCGGGGTTGGAACTGGACTAGCAGGGGGTCAAGAGTGTGGCTGCATTTACACAACACAGAGGTGAGGGGTGGGGGTACGTGCTGGGCTCGGGTCCCCGGGTCCCCGTCGGGAGAAGATGGAGGGGGCGGTCAGCAGGGGCTGTGCGGGCTGAAGGCTCGGCTCCGAGGGGGGTAGGGTGCGGGGCTTAGAACCGGGAAGGCAAAGGGTTCTGAAGCGGGACAGCGCAAAGGCAACCAGGGGCGTGGGACCACGGAAGGCGCCCGCCGCCCGCTCGCATCTCGACCCCGCCGCCCCTCCCCCCCTCCCCCCTGACCCCGGACTCACCAGGGCGAGCGGGGAGGGGGCGGGGGTCGCTCCTGGCCGCTGCAGCCTCTGCGCCTCTGACTCGACGCTCCCGCCTCTCCGCCACGGACACCCGGAAACTGCGCTCGAGGCGCCTGACGCCATCCGGGCGGTTGGGCGCTCGGCCCCGCCCCCGGCCCGCGCAGCCAATGGCGGGGCGGGAGGAGCCACGGGGCGGGGCCAACGGTCCTGAAGCCAGCGGGTGAGCGATCTGGGAGGCTCGGGACTCCACTAATGGGCGAGGGAGATCCGCCTGAAGAGGTGAGGCTCTTTTTTTTTTTTCTTTCTTTCTTTCTTTCTTTCTTTCTTTCTTTCTTTCTTTCTTTCTTTCTTTCTTTCTTTCTTTCTTTCTTTCTTTCTTTCTTTCTTTTCTTTCTTTCTTTCTTTCTTTCTCTTTTTCTTTTCTTTCTTTCTTTCTCTTTTCTTTCTTCTTTCCTTTTTTTTTCCCAGCTAGGAAGTTTTATTAGTGAGTTCCACAGAACTTTCAAGACAAGTTGTCTCAAATCATACAAATTCACCCATAGCCCAGAGAGGGAATATCCCCCAACTCATTCTGTGGTTAGTTTAAACTTTCCGTTGAAATAGGACCAACAACAAAAGTACGAGAAAACTAACGTGCCCGTCATCCTCATGAACAGAGGGGCGATAATGCTGAACCAGGAATTCTCACAGCAAATCCAACAGTACATAGAAGAAGACAGTAGATCAGGGCTAAGTTCAGTTTGTCCCGCGAAAGCAAAGGTGATGGAACATCAGAAGTGTATAGATGGGGGCACCTGGGTGGCTCAGGGAACTAAGCAGCCGGCTCTGCTTTCACCTAAGGTCACGATGGGAGGCTCGCGACTCCGCTAACGGGCGAGGGAGATCCGCCTGAAGAGGTGAGGCCACTAAGCGAGGTCACCGACGTACGAGGAGCTTGGCCTAACGCCCGCCTCTAGCAGTGTCTGCTCAGACTAGATCCCGGCTTCTGGGTTCCTCATCTCGCCTGGCTCAGCGCCATCCGTGGAACGTTGGCCTCCTGAGGGGTAGGTTCCCACTCGTAAAAGCAGACCAGTGACGTCTACGCTATTTTTGCCTCCCTGAGGGCATGGGCGCTGGTGGTGCTTCCAGCCCGGGGGCTCTGAGGAAAAAAAGTGTACGTGTTTTGACCATATCTTATGCCAACAGGGCGTCTTTAGCTCCCCGCTCCCTCCTCCTCGGGACTTTCTCCTGTACCTGCCCATCAGCCCCTGAGGCACGAAGCTCCAGGATCTGGTTCTTCTCATCTAGCCAGGTACTTGTGTGTTTGCTTTCCTCGGTAGAGTTGACATTTCTTTTGCAGGTGGACTCCGAACAAAAGGTCCAAAGTGTGTGGGAGGGGGGATGTCTGCTTTGGTCACTTCTCACCTGCAGGCTTTGGTCCAGCGGGGAGCGTAGGGCCTGAGTGTGGGGACAGTGCCCGGGGGCAGAGGTACTACTAACTGCAGGTCCAGGGGGACTTTGGGAGTATTTATAGGGCTGGCCTGGGAACAGGGCAGCTCTTGGAAGCAAGCTCCACTGACCTGGGCCAGGGGTTCTGTGACCCGTAAAAAATGGCTGGTGGAGATGTGGCCCTGAGTGTGTGGGGGCTGCTTCTCTGGTAATAATCTCTCCGGGAGTGAGAACCACTTCTCGGTTTTAGACTAGATGAGGCTGAGAGCATTCAGTATGGTTAATAGTTGAGGAGGGGGAGCCGGATAAAGAAGAGGTGGTCTATGTATACAATGGAATATTCCTCAGCCATTAGAAACGACAAATACCCACCATTTGCTTCGACGTGGATGGAACTGGAGGGTATTATGCTGAGTGAAGTAAGTCAATCAGAGAAAGAAAGGGAGGTGGGCGGGGGGTGGGGGTGACTGGGTGATGGGCACTGAGGGGGGCACTTGATGGGAGGAGCACTGGGTGTTATTCTATATGTTGGCAAATTGAACTCCAATAAAAAAAATAAAAATAAAAATAAAAAATAAAATAAAATAAAATAAAAAATAGTTGAGGTGTGGGTAGCCCGGTTGGCTCAGCGGTTTATCGCCGCCTTCAGCCCAGGGCCAGATCCTGGATTCCCCGGAATGAGTCCCCATCAGGCTCCCTGCATGGAGCTTGTTTCTCCCTCTGCCTGTGTCTCTTCCCCCCACCTCCCGTGTCTCTCATGAATAAATAAATAAAATACTTTAAAAAATAGTTGAGGAGGAAGTTAGAAATAAAGAGAGAGAGGCAAAGTATTTTCTGGGTGTTGAACAAAGTGGAAAGTAAGGGATTTACTAGGGAAATCGCATTTCCTAGGCAAAAGGATAGTGTTTCTGGTAATAATTAGCACACCAATACCATCAGTGTCTTGACTCAAGCATGCCCTCCCCCAAATGGAGCAAGCAAGCAATATTCCTCAGTTCTTCCAGTTTTAGTATGTGTGCTGCCAAAGTGAGCACTATTTCTCAGTTCTTCCAATGAATTTTTGCACAGCCACTGTCTGCAAAAGCGTGGGAACCCCACATAGTAATCTTTTGTCTGGTTTTTCAGGAGCCTAGCCCTTGGCTCTTGGTCTTCTCTTACTTCTCAGGCCTCTCAGTCCCTCTGCTTGTCTTCCTCTCTTCATCTTGCTCTGGTGCACATTTTCACCATTCATGGGCCATGAGTCCACAAGGTAGTTTCCAGCCAGAAAAAAAAATTCACACTGGTATATCATTTGAACAGTAATAAAGTCACATGCAAAGAGAAGAGAGCTTGAAGGTTATCCTGGAAGAGGCAGCTTTTATCTGAGTCTTGCAGGTGGATAGAGGAAGGGGCATTGCAGGTGAAGAAACTGGCAGAGAAGTGGCTGGTAGGTAGGAGTGCAGGCTGAGCTCAGGGGAGGTCCCCAAGAGTGGAGAGGAAGTTGGACATAAGAACAGAGTAAGGGGCTGGGGCTGGGATGGGAGGGGAGATAAAGACAGATTGGATGAGGGGGGAAAGGAAGGATGCAGATACAGCTGGAGGCCTGTGCAGGAAGGGCTCAAACACTAGCAAACTCAGCTCACAGGCCACTGGTCTGTCAGCTTAGATTTCAAGAACTCCACAGACTTATTTAAAAAGCCAGGTAGGAGAACTGCAGGTGTCTGAATTCCCTGCAGACAGGTCCAAGGTGTAGATTCCTGAACCCCATCCCTTCCCTGGAGAGTCACTCTGGGATGGGGTCCAAGAATTTAGGCCTGACCATCTCTGCTGTCCTCTGCCCTCAGCACCAGCGGATCCAAAGCATAAGAAAATGTAAGAACCTTTGTCTTATTTTAGGAGCTGAGGGGTAAGGGATTATTTGGCAAAAGAGAAGCTTCTATTGTTGTTTGGGACATTTGGGCAAAAGAGAAGCTTCTATTATTTGCCAGATAGGAATTGTGATTGGTCCTTGTCAACCACTGGGAAGGTAGGTTGCCATTGTTACCTTCAATAGCACAGATAAGAAAACAGGCTTCAGAGAGAGGCTAAGTAACTTGGGGTCCCAGGGCCTCAGAACTAATAAATAAATGGTAGAGGGAGGACTCTCACCCAACTCTAATTCTAATTAGAGAGTTAGCATAGTTCAGTGGCAGAGCAAGTGGGCTTGGGAGGCGGTAATGCTTAGGTTTGAACACCAGCTCTACCCCATACTGTTTACTGGGCCTTCCCTACACTACTGTGGGCGTTCAGGACAACCAAGCAATGTGAGGCTATGGTTTTCACAGGCCCCTTGAGATATAGCACTGAAGATTGGCAATTGGAAAACAGAAGTAAAGGCACAACACACTCTTAGCCTCTTAGCCTCAGGCAGAGGGGCCAGAGGGTGTGACTTCAGGTAAATTCCCAAAACTATCTGAGCCTCAGTTCCTCATCTGTAAATTGGGGAAAATATCAGTTGACCTGAGGATTAAGATAATATCCTTAGGAGAGTTTCTGGCCTGCTGGAAGTACTTGAACATGACTAGCTATAGGGCACCTGGGTGGCTCAGTTGGTTAAGCCTCTGCCTTGGGCTCATGTCATGATCCCAGGGTTCTGGGGTCCAGCCCACAACAGGCTCCCTACTGAGTGGGGAGTCTGGCCCCTCCCCCGTGCCCCCACCCTCGCTCATGCCCTCACTTGCTCTCTCAAATGGATAAATCTTTTTTAAAAAAGATTTTGTTTGTTCATGAGAGACACACACACACACACACAGAGGCAGAGACACAGGTAGAGGGAGAAGCAGTCTCCATGCAGGGAGCCTGATTTGGGACTTGATCCCGGGACTCCAGGATCACGCCCTGGGCTGAAGGCGGCGCTAAACCGCTGAGCCAACTGGGCAGTCCTGGATGAATAAAATCTTAAAAAAAAAAAAGACTAGCTATATTATTAGTATAGTTTGGGCTAATTCTCACCTTCCCAATCCAGTCAGATCTGTTTTTAACTGCTTTCTGAACACTGGAGTGGGAGCTTTATTTATTATTTATTTATTTATTTATTTATTTATTTTTCATTTTTTGAGAGCCTTTCTTATTTGAACCCCAGATATATCCTTTCTTGGCAGCTGACTAAAGTCATCAAACAAGGACTAATGCAACCATTTCTCTCAAAACTGGAATAGCTAATGTTCCCCTGGATTCTGTTGTAGGAAGTCAGTTCTTCCCACTCTTTTAAAATATGGGGTTAAAGGGTTTTTAATTATTAATTTGTCAATTATACCTCAATAAAGCTGGACAAAAATAATGAATTTTTAAAACTCCCCAATAGTTATTATTATTATATATAGTTTACAGTTCAAATAGTATGACATCAAATGGTGAGGAAACATAATGACCCACGGCAGTTTCTTCCCCTTGACCATCCCCACCTTCCCTCCTGAGCCAGCTCACTGGGCCTGCTTACTTCTAGCTGAATCTTCTGATGCTTATCTCCCCACCTATCTTGGCAATTCTAGCTTTGGATTTATCCATTTTAGACACTGTCTGTGGACTTCCTATTATCACAGGCAAGGAGTTAGTTCTTTAACACCCCAGTCCGTTCTTGAGGTTTAGTTATGCCACTCTTTCCTGATAATTGATAGTGTTTACAGAATTGTGAT